TTAGAAAACGCGAAAATAATTTTTCTATAAAAAAAAAATGGAAATGTTTTGGAAACGTGTATATATATACACATATCTCATGAAACAAAATATATCAATGTTTTAAAATATTTGAAACAACACAAATCCAATCCGACTCGAACAAAAAAACACTTTGTTAATGTAACGACTTCATGATTTCAATAATCAATAACAAATCTATTGTAATTAGAAAAAATACCTTATTTATCTATTCGATTCTTCTACCCTTTAGGTTACGGTGATGATTAGAAAAAAAAGATTGTATTAGTGTATAATAATTAGGTTTTAAAATTTATTAAAAACGACAGACAAATTCATATATTTTCATAGTATTTATTCAATTTGCTTCCAAAACCAAAAGTTGCGTTTCAAATTTTGGAAACGCGTTTCCGGCAGCTTCCAAAACGTTTCTAAATTGAAATATTTAAGAAACGTATTTCCATTGCGTTTCAATTTCCGAAATGGGAAACAGATTTTGGGTGGAGTTTCCATGCAATCCAGGGTTCAATACTCATATGATTAATTAAAAAAAATATTTGGTCTTCAAGAATAACATAGGGGAAAAGAGAAAGGAGCCTTTCTTCTCCGAACCCCCCCCCCCCCCAAAACGCAGGAAATCAATGTCGTTTAATAGCTCCCACCTTCTGTCTCCACAAGAATACCTTCCTCTCCGACAATTCTCCGATCAATCCCAGCCACCGCCGCAGCGTCACTTTCCCGAAACACCGTCTCTTCTCACCGCCAGTTTCCTCAATCTCCCCTCGACCGCAGTCACGGCGGATTCCTATTTCGTGTCTCCCCATCGCAACGGAGACAACTCTGATGCTGTTACAAACCGAAGGTGGCTCTCCTTTGATACAGAGATCCAGAATACCGGAGAAGTCCGTTCTGAGGTCATGGAAGGAGTCAACGTCAATGGTGAAACGATCCTCGGAGTTGTTGGCGGCGAGGATTGGCGGACCGCTACTTACAAGGCGGCGATTTTGAGACATCCGATGTACGAACAGCTTCTAGCGGCTCATGTGGCTTGCCTTAGGATCGCTACTCCCGTTGACCAGCTTCCTAAGATCGATTCCCAGCTCAGCCAGTTGCACAACGTCGCTGCGAAATACTTCACTCTTGGTGTTGTTGTGGACAATAAGGAATTAGATAATTTCATGGTAAGTTTGAGAATTGCAATTGCAATTTCAATTTTGCAAAATTCAAGCTTTTTTCCATATATTTTGAAATTCGATTTGGGATATGTGCTAATTGAGTTTTGGAATTAGCTCTAGTATGCAGAAACCCTCATTGATTCCATGGTAGTTTACTAAACTCTCAAAACTTAAAAAATTGCTACATATTGTGTTCTCTTTCATAGGGTTCATGAATGTTTTGAATTGTGGACGATTCAACAATTGATTTATGTTTATTAGCTGAGTTGCAAATTCACATTTTTTTGTGTGTGTGGTTCATTGTTCCTGCTTCTTGAGTCTTGAAATTGATATGATCTTAGATCCTTCTATTTGAGTAAGTGCCTGCAAAAACCAAAGAGCCTCTCTTGAAATAAAAAGCCAAGAAAGTGTGTCATGGTGTAATGGACCCTTGTTTTTGTGGGATAAAAGCTTCTTTCTTTATGGTTGTGTCTGCTTCTTACTAATAAAAGGATTTGTATGTCTTCTTAGTTTTTGTCCATGAGAAAGAAAACATAATCTGTTTTGTAAGTTTCTGTTTGTACGTCTTATGGGTCAGAATCTTACCTTTTCTTATGATGATGCAGTCACATTATGTTGTGTTGTTATGTTCATTTAAAGAACAGCTCCAACATCACGTTTGTGTCCATGCAATGGAAGCCATTACGGCTTGTTGGGAGATCGAGCAGTCACTGCAATCTATAACTGGTAAATGTCTCAATCCGAAATCAACCATGCTTTGTTTTTGTTGTATGCGTCTTGATTTCATCTCTATGTCTTTCGGCTGGTTTTGTGTTATGTGTGAGTGTAGGAGTTTCTCCAAGTGAAAGTAATGGCAAGACAATGTCGGATGATGAAGATGATAATCAAGTAGAGAGCGAGGTGAACATGTTTGATGGAAGTTTGGACGGTTCAGATTGCTTGATGGGATTCGGTCCTCTTGTTCCAACCGAGCGCGAAAGATCCTTGATGGAACGTGTGAAGAAGGAACTGAAGCATGAGCTTAAACAGGTAATTGATTTGACAAGTTGGAATGTTACATCAAACTAAAGAAAACACATTATCATATTGCTCGGGTTATTGCCCAACAGGGTTTCA